CCAACTAAGGGATCCTGCAGCAGGTGAGATTTATAAGCTATGAGGATGGGCCATTCTCTCCCCACCCTTGTCTCTGCTCTTTGTGATCCCTGGAAAATTTTGAAAATGCAGGGATTTTTCTCTTCCTGAAACATATGTGTATGCCAGTGCCCTTTCCATCCATACCACCCAGAGATGAAGAACACAGGTGTTATACTTCCCTCTGCATCCCAAACTGGAAAAGTTCAAATTACTTTACTTGCTGGAAACAGCCAGAGCATCTTACAATTAGTCAGTTTCCAGATACTGGAGAGTCAAACTGAGATAAAATCCTGGCTCTCTTGCAGTCTATGGGAATTGTGCCATTGACTCTAACAGATTAATTCAAAAGCTCTAGTCTTTCCTGCCCCAAAATCTCCATTTCCCTGCCTCTTGCACTTGCTTCTCCGGGTAGATGTAAGCAGAGTCCAGGCTGGCTTGCCCCCCATGAGCACTTATGATAAAAACTCTGCTTCCATTGGGCAAGATTCCTGAAACAGTCTGGTCCCTTCGGCAGGGAAGGCAGGTCAGAATTTTTGAGGCGAAAGCTCAGCAGGGAATCAGCAGGCTGACAGGAGCTTTGCCCAGCACCATTCCCCACAGAGCCAATGCTGTAAAAACTCTTGCTCTGGAAGGCAGGGACTGTGCCAATTACAGAACAGCCCCCAAATTACACAGTTTAGGCGACTGGACAAGATGAAAGGGTCACATCACTAAGACAGAGATGACCCACAAGCACAGGCTGAAAGTAACTCCACAAGGAGAAAAAAAATTGGATCCTGACGGCCCGTAGGGAAAAGACAGAACGGAACCAGGGACTGGAAGCTGAAGCCAGACATTCTTGTTGAGAATAAGGAACAAATATGTAGCAGTGAAGGTGATTAATTACTGGGGCAAACCACCCAACCTCCCAGGATGGTGAGCATATGGTAACCACATACTTTGGTGTCATGGCAGAGGCAGGGCTTTCTTCACCCCTACATTCCACCTGTGACCTGCTGTAAGGGGCTGTTGGTGTTTCTGGTATTGTGCCTTGCAGTTGTGTGAGGCTTTGAAGGGGTCATTTGGGAAAATGCTTCTGGAAACAGGTGCCTGCAAATGTAGGGACCCAGATCTGATGGCCCAGAAGGCTCTTTCTACTCCTGTTCCTACCAGAAGTAGCAGGTCCTCCATTCCATGCTGGTTTAATATCCAACCTGGCTGCATTTCTGAAAGAGATACCTAGTCAGACACAAATTACAGAGCTCAATACAGGATGGGGGGAGGGACTAGATGAAAGTCTAGGTCCTCTTCTACCTAGGTCAAACTAGATGATCAAAGACACTGTACTCCATTGACCAGGGAAGTACATAATCCTGCATAACATTGCCAATCCCAAATTATGGCCTATTGCTTACATTGTAACACTCTCCGGTTATTCCCCTATCAATTAACTGCATGAACCACTTAAAAACAGTGGCCTTCAGTCCCAGGGTCTGCTTTGTAACTTAATTGCACTGAAGTTAACTGTCTAGTAACTGTATCTGCTTTGTCATTTCTTGAGCTCCTGTTAAGGATGCCAGGAATGGTGATGAAGGAGCTGTCAAAGGGCTGCTATTACAAACCTTGAACATGGCTACTCAGTTTCACAGCTGGTGTCTCCCCTCATTTTCAAGGCTACTAAGAGCAATCCTGAAAGTGTTAGAAGCCTTACAAATGAGGAGCGAGTCAACTGGGGGCTGCTGATGCTATGGCACTGACACTTACGTGTATTTAATGACAATTGTTTACATCAAGATTGGACAAATGCAAATTCTAGGTAAATGCCATCTCTTCTCAGTCCCAGTGATGCACTTAAAGAGAGACTACCGTATAGAAGTGTCTCCATAGGAAGTATAAATTCATACACTTTCACTTATAGTTTATTCTCCTAGTTTAGGATGGGATCAGGATTTTTCTTGGCTTGGAGATTAAAAAATAGTTGGAAGTATAAAGCAACATGAAGATGACACAGGATAAAGACTGGCATCAGCAGAACAGTGCAGGTTTGGAGTTAGTGAGATTCTCTGGTTTAGCTGAGCTGCAATCTGGGTTAGTCTACAAAGCGCTTGTCACACTGAGATTTTCTGTGAACAACCCCACCCAGGATTCAATATTTCATGGAGTCTCAATTCAGATTAGTGACAAGATAGCAGGTTTTGGAGATGGGGGGGATCCTTTTATAAAGGATGAGATCAAGAGACATTCCAGTATTTTTTTTAAAAGGCAAAAATAGAACTGGCTGCAAAGTTGTTTTAAACCAATATTCCCAGCTGTGGTTGCAAACCAAACATTGCAGATCTGAGAACCAAAAATAGAAAGAAGGGAGAAGTGGCTCCCTGAATTTTCCTTGGCCAAACAGAAATTAAGCAAGCTATCAACTAGCATAAAAAGAGAGAGAGAGAGAGAAAATGTATTGGGGACAGGGAAATCTCACTTCTTACACCCAAAGTTTCCTTAATCATTTTTCAGTAATAAGACTTTTCTCCTTTAAATGTGAAAACTTAAGCCACTGTCTACAGCAATATTATAGAACCCTACTGTAATTTTACAACAGCTTGTGGGTAGGACTGTGTAACTCACAAACATGGGCTATAGCATTTTAAGAGCCAAATTATGTGACTAGATACCACAGGTCACACTATCATGGCTGTCATCATTTGGCTGGAACAGGAACAAGCAAAAGGGTTTAAAAGGGCAGCAGCGTATTTGGGCAGATAATATGAAACAAAGCATGGTGTATATGCAGCATTGGTACAAGTGTAACTGTCTCAATGAGGGGAGTGACTTCTTACTGTAAGTAGCAAAGAAGTACAACTCCTCATGCCAACAGAATTTGCATCATTAAAAAGGTCTTTATACAGTGCAATCCACCTAGATGCATAGTAGCTAAATGTGCAATTCACTTCACTGCATAACCCAATATGAATCCCAACTTTTTACTGGTTGCATGCACATGCTGCCCAAATGCCTGGCATCTTTTGGCTCTACTCTTTACTTCTTAATGTAATTATGCACAATTTAACTGCATGAGCATTACACAGAAAGGCAAAAGGGAAGCAGCTGTCAAAAGCCACTACTTCAAAACCTTGAAAACAAGGAAGTTCGTCAGTTTCAGTTGCAAAATGACTATCAGAAGCCTAAAATTGGCTACCAGTTTCAGGGCAGCTAGTGTTAACCCGCTGAGAGCATTATGCATGTAATGAGCTTTGCATACAGGAACTCCAGCTCAGTTCATACTCCAGGTAAGGGCACAGCCTTTTTCAGTCTTGAGGCAGTGCCCTTAAACAGAGGTTACTGTACTGCTCTTTCCTACACTTTCATACCAGTATAACTGCATCTAAACTAGGGGGTTGTATCCCTCTAATTATACCAGCACAGTCACAGGCAAGGCAACTTCTCAGAAAAGGCTGAAGAGAACTTACACATTCTCCCTCTTGCTTTTCAAGTGGCTTTGGAATGCTGCTTTGATTAGTCCTAAAGACTGAAGTCCCCTATTCACTGATAGGATAGAGTCAGTATATGCAGTGGCTCAGCCAAGCTTTTTCATAGGGTCATAGGAAAGCTGGCCTGGAAGAGACATCACAATGTTGTCTAGTCCAGCCTCCACTCAAGGCAGGATTGTCCCTGACAAAGCATCCCAGCCAAGTGTCTGTCTATCCAAGCTGCTCCTGAAAATTTCCAAGGATGGCGATTCCACAACTTTTCTAGGTAGCCTGTTCCAATGCTCGTCAGAAAGTTCCTCTGAACCTCCAACCTAATTCCTCTGCTGCAGCTTGAGCTGCTCCTAGTCCCATCTTCTACAGCCACAGAGAAAAGCCCACGATTCCAC